TTTCTCTTGAGGGCAGGTTTGTTAAGAAGAACAGAATACTCTGATGTATCTCAGAATGGTTCCTTTTTCCTTCCCACGACTGGAAGCATGAGGGGATTTTTCTCTGATATTCACTGTAAGGATCTGGTAGAGTTTCTGGAGGTAAGACTCACAAATGTGTGAAGGTCCCTCTGATGACTGGGTTCCCCTTGAATTTTTAACTTTCAAAGTTGTCTACACTTAGCCTCCAGCAATTCATTAATCACATTTTTGGTTTTCCCACTCCAGCACTGGTTCTTAAGGAGGTTTCTGTTCATGTGTTTCTGCTCTGGCAAGTCATTATTCTCTGTGTCAACCTGTCTGTCTTTCCACAACTTGGTACAGCAGTTTGCCATGTGACTTTACTTACTTCTCTGTAAGATCTATAAGAGTTGCTGATTTTTCAATTTGTTCACGTTTCTACTTGTTAGGACACAGTGGTGACTTCTAAGTTCCTTGCATGGTGGACTGGAAACTGCAAGTCCTCCAGTTTTTAAAAATTCTTTATAACACTGGACCTCCAAGCAGTATTCAGCATTCTTGACCACTCCCCCTTTTAGGAGCAAATACTCTCTTCTCTTAGCTTCTATGATACCATATTCTGTTTATTTTCCTCCTTCTCTCCATCTTCTTCCTTTTCTACCTGACTGTAGAGTTTTCCAATAATTGATCCTGGACCCCCTTCTCTTCCTCACTCTATAAATACTCTTTTCCAGGTGATTTTGCCCATTTCCACGAATTTTAAAATATCTATAATACTGTACATTCCTCCTCTGTTTTCCTGACCTGCAGATTTACAGCCAATGACCATTTCAACACTTTCATCTTCATGTGCCCTCAGACCTCCTATCTGTCCTATCACATTATATAGCACCTTTACCCACCTAAGCTGCTTGAGACACAGACCTAGAAGTCTTTCTTGACACCTCTTACTCTTTCCTTCTCTATATCCAGTCCATGAACTCTTCAGGTAAAATTATCTTAAACTCATGCATATTTTTCCATCTCTCCTACAAAGCATCCTAGTTAATGCCACCAAAATCTCCCATCAAAAACCTTTGTAACTTTGTATTAATGAACCTGCTGGACCTCTTCCAATTTGCTCCCCAATGAATTCAGTAACAGTAAGATATAGTGGGGAGAGTACAGGTTTTTAGATACAGAAAGACCTGCCACAAACTCTTCAAGCATATTGGTTAACATCTTATCTGTAAAATAACTATAAAAAAACACAAAAAACTTACCTCATAGGAATGCTATGAAAAGATATAACTAATGAAAAGAGCTTAGAATAATGCTTAACAATGAGTAGCCATTCAAATAGTAGCTCCTGCTATATACAAAATAAAGTTTGTATTCCTCCCCAAAAACCTCTAGATTCAAAGCCTAATGTACTAATTCACAAGTATTCCTTGGCATAAAACACTGCTCTGGTTACATAGCAGATGTCTAATTTTACTTTAAATAATGATTAATAGACATCCAATTATCCAAAAGGAAATTAGAAAAAATTTTAATTTTAATCTGCTATCATTAAATGTATAAAGAATATACATTCATATAACAATAAAGTAATCTAATCGCTAAACTCCAAAAATATTTTAAATTATTGACTTAAATAGCTGAAAAATAATTCCTATAAAAGTGTTATTTAAAAATATGTCCTATATTAATGAAATTTGTGGTTTATATAGTTATTCTGCTTCAATACTTGCTTTTTTCTCTGTTTTTTCAGGGATTGAAGGATAAATTTTCCCAGTAAGCAAAACTTCACAATCTGCATTATCTATAACAAAAATATAATTTAGTATTTTAATTATTTAACTTGTAGTTAGCTTTAAGAAAAGGAACTCAAATTTGGAAAAAAACTGATTTAATGATTGTGACTTTGTAACAGTTTTAGGTAAAACTTAATATATGTTGACTAACTTGACTTGCTACAGATAGGAGAAGGTATTCTTTAAAATATTTTCATGTCAAGAGCTCCAGGCTTCACAGGAGGAAATAAACTGTATATAAAAGATAACCTTTCAATTTATAAAGTTGCATGTGGCTAGAATTTTTAATTATCCTTTCATTTCCACTCTCCTGTATTTTCAGTCTCTCCCTTTCTACTGCTACTTTTCTACCACCATTTAAAACGTACTCAGGCCTTTTTCATAGTACCGAAAACTTTATCTGTACCTCATACCCCTTCCTGCTACCTAGCTTCCTATAGCTTTTCAATTCACTTCCCTCTGCAGTCCACTGTACACACTGTATACCTAAAATACAAATTTAATATCATATGCTTAAAACTCTTCAAAGGCTTTCCACTGTCCTCAAGTTAAAACTCAAGCTCCTTAACTTGGCATACAAAACCCTGTTTTTATACTCTGTCCTCAAATTAAAACTCAAGCTCCTTAACTTGGCATACAAAATCCTGTTTTTATACTCTGTCCTAAAATTAAAACTCAAGCTCCTTAACTTGGCATACAAAATCCTGTTTTTATAATTCCTGTGTTGCTTACATATTTCCAGCCTCATTGCACAGGTTAATAGGCTGCTAGATAAAATATAGGATGCCTGCTTGAGTTTGAATTTCAGATGAACAATAAATAACTACTTAGTATAAGTATTTCCCATGTAATAGTACAGGTCTACACAATGTTTGTGACATAATTATATTAAAAATTATTTGCTGCTTATCTGAAGTCAAATTTAATTGGGCATTGTTTATTTTTATTTGCTAAATCTGGCAACCTTTGAGGCTAATCACTTTTCTCATCTTCATCTCCCAAGGTAGAGAGAAGTAGTAGGTGTGAGAGTTCTCCAAAAAAAGAGGATAAAATTAGTACACAGATGTGATAATAGATTAGACACAGGAGTGACAAAGAGGAAGGTGTCAGGCATGATCCCCACATTTCAGTTTACTGAGCTACATCTGCTAACTGAGATGGAGGACACTGGAGGAGGAGGACTAGATTAGGCCTCCGTTGAGATAATTCTCAGTCATCAATCCTTGTTTTACTTAATCTCTTGAAAACTTTTGTTACAGTTGCTTCTAAATGTTGAAATGTTTTATTTATATTCTTCTCACTTCCTAAGTGAGCTTACTTAATCCTATGGCTTACAAAACATTTATATCTAACTCTAAATATTTATCTACAATCCTAGTCTCTGCCTCTGAACTCCAGATTCCCTTGTCACAAACTGCTTTCATGACATCTCTGCTTGAAAGCTGACAAGTCTGTTAATGTTTTAACATTTTATTAAAGTATTTCATATATGGAATAATGGGAACAAATCTTATATGTATATGTATTCACCCATATAATGATCACACAGATCAAGACATAAAATATTTGCGACACCCCAAAAGTTTCCTATATGTTCTTTCCCAGTCAGCAACCCCCTTCCAAAGATTACCACCATTCTGACTTCTGTCATCCAGAATAGTCTTTCCTATTCTTGAACTGTATACACATGGGATTAACCAGTATATACATACGTGTGTCTGCATTCTTTCATTCAACATTATGTATTGACAGATCAAATTTAAAACGCACAAACCAAATTCTCTTTTCATCATTCTCCTCCCTTGCTGTGCCCTACAATGCTCTTACCTCAAGAAATGATACCACCATTCATTTAGTCACTCAACCAATAATTTAAGCCTCATTCTTGACTTTTATTTTTCTCTCCTACCCAATATCCAGCTTAACCAGAAAATTCTGCTCCATCTGCCTTTAAAATATACTCCATATCAGACAACTGTTGCCATTTTAGTCGTATACATCATTCATTACCTGACCACTGCAGTACTTTATTTAACATGGTTTCCTTGCTTCACTCTTGCCTCCTTAGTCTATTCTCCACATAGGAGCCAGAGTGGTAATTCTAAAGTATGTATCTGATCATGTCATTCCTCTGCTCTAAGATATACTTCTCAGCACATTTTGGAAAAAAAAAAACTCTACTCCTTGCGAAGGCATATGAGACTCTACATTATACCACTTGCCTTGCTCTCTGACCACAATTCCAACCATTCATTCATTTTGCTCCAGTCACACTAACCTCTTTTCTCTTCTTTAAACATACTGAACGTATTCCCATCTCATGGTTTGCCTAGCATGCTCTGCCCCCAGATTTCCACAAGGACTCTCTCACTTCTTTCAAGCTCTGTGTAAATGTCACCACATCTGAGAGGCCTCTCTTGGTTACCTTGCCTAAAATGGCATCCCTAGTCACACTTTCTGTTTTTATCCTGCTTTATTTTCCCTTATGACTCTTATTTCTGATTTTGTTATATATGTATTTATCTATTTATTTTCCTTCTTTCTCCACTATAGCATAAACTCTGTTAGAGCAAGGAATGTGCCATGTTCCCAAGCAACTAACACAGTTTGAGTTACACTGCAGCTGCTTAATAAGTACTTGTTGAATGATTGGAATTAATGAATGATGAAAGGAGGTTTCTCTGAAACACCCAAGGGGAGATGTCCAGAAGGCAGCTAACAGAAGGGTCTTAATCTCAGAAAAGATGCCAGACTAGAAAATCTGGAAGCCCTGCCCTTTACAGGACACCTATACATATTGGAGGGCATACTGAAAAGAGATTAAAATCTAGGAATTAGCCTTGAAAAACCCCAACATTTAATGGGTAAAAGTAGTAGATAAGATTGCAAAGAAGACTGAGCAGGAGATGTCTGAGAAGTAATTTCTTGGTTTTTTTTGTCTCTATTACTAGACTTTGTACAATTGAAGGTAAGAATATAGCCTTTTTTTGTTTGTTTTGTTTTCTAACAGTAAAGAGCCTGACAAAAAACTAGAACAAAGGTGGATTTGTTAAGTTAAAGAATGTGTAAAAAATATTTCTAGAGCAGGATGTAGTTTATTTAAATTTTTAAGCAAGTCAATCAACCACATAAAAGTAAGAATACAAAAGCGTACATAATTCCAGAATCACTATTTTGCCTTACTCCCAGGCTTTATAAATATTATTTTACACAACCAGATTAAACCTTTTTACTGGGCAAGACCTAGATAAAAAGCATTATTATTTTTGGTACCCTTACCCCTTTCCCTTTCATACCTCTTTTCTCTTGTTTACAAGTTCCTTATCTTCGACCTATAAAACAAATCTTCCTTCTAACGCTCGCCCTCTAGGGTAGTAGGCGCTACTCCTTCCAATAATGTGTGCTTTTACAAGTTTAGTGTTCATCATTAGATTAATTTTTCTTAGGATGGAAACTATCTCAATCATTTTTATAGCCACACTTTCTAACATAATACCTGGTATTTTGTAAATGCTCATTAAGACAACTTCTTAACGTGAAGATTACACACACAGACACACACATGAAAGAACATGTTTTTTTCCAGTTCATAATTCAAGGAAATATTTACACCCATCAGGAGCAAAACAAATAATTCTTTAATTTTATGTCCAAATAGACACTACAAAACTTGTTGCAGGAAATAAAGAAAATAGAAATCTGAGATACAGCAGAGGCTAACAAGGTTGTAAATGTCTTGCTGTTAATTCCAATAATAAACTAAATAACAGAGAACCTATAATACAAGGCATTTTGTTGACTCTTTTATTTTTCAATCATCACACATAACTCAAATGTATCTGTTTACCAATTACCTCCTCCTATAACTGAAATTTATAAGGGCAAGATAGATAGATAGATAGATAGATCGATCGATCGATCGATCGAATCAATCGACCGATCATTGCCTATCAGTATATATAGACCAGTACAGAGCACATACTAAGCAAATGTTTTATTAAATGAATTAATGATGTGTGCTATGGGGATAGTTAAGACTCATTTCCCAATTTCATGTATCTTCATTTCTTAAATACAATCACATTTAAAGAGCACTGTTTCCTGGGATACCAGGCAATAACGAAACAGAATTATAACAATGATTAGTTTCACTATTTATTACCTGATTCTGAATTTGAAGTACTCTTTGGTTTTGGAGAAGTATTTTGGTCTGTTAACATCATCATTCTAGAATAAGAACAAATTGACAGTATTCTCTTAATCTTTCATTAATTCTCAGGAATCCTCAAATAATACTTAAAGACATTTCTATGCAATCAATTAGCCTTTAGAAAAAAAATACAACTGGTTAGAAAAAAATTAACGTATCTATTTGAACAAATAGTTTAATAATAAAAGGTAATATATTTATACATTTATAAATACTGTAAGACAATTTGTATAGAGGACAAGGCATAGTGTTTAGAAGCAGACAGACCTCGGTTTAAAGCTCAGTTTTGCTACTTAAACTTGAGTGGCCTTGGGAAAGTTACTTAACCTGTCTTGAGTCTAGATTATCTTGTTTATGCAAAAGGAATAGCAATCTTGTTTCCCAGGGTTCTTATGGTAAGATTACAAGTAACATAGAAGATAATGCCTAAAAAATTAATATTCTTTTCTCTTTTACACTTTCATAAATAACACCATTCCCAATTCTATCCAAATGTGTAAAAGAGCATTAGCTATTACAAGAGGAAAAAAAAAGGATCAAAGCCCAGCCTTTGGCCACCAAAATGGGATTTCCAAGTCCTTAGCAAGACAATGGAGTTGAAAACTAAATGTGAGAAGATGATTTCTGTTACTGATTTATTGAACAGCTGAACTCAGTAAGCAAAAAAGAGTTTTATTCTTTCACATTTCCCCTTGAAATTCATACTATCAAAATAGTACTTTCTTGCCCCTGAATGAACTTTCAGGTATATTTCATTGCTTCTGTGGTATTCTCTGACAATAAATAGTCATCTTTAGGTAATGAAACACCCAGTATAATGTCACAATACTGAACTTTTATTACCCAAATTAAATCTCTTACTTTTCCCAACTTGGGTCTAATTTAGACTCATAACCTGCAGTGAGGAGAGCAACCATGGTTTTTTTTCTCTGTTTCTTGTTAATTTTTTCCCTCTGCTTGTTAACTATTCTTCAGGATCCTCTGGCACTGGAGTAGTAGGAAGGAGTTGCAGAGAAGGACAGAAAAGATCTTTCTTGATCTTGATTGATACTTTTATAATATGCCATTGGTGCCCTTTGGGTGTGACAGAAAACCAAATGCTGATTTGCTTCAAACCTGAAGTATTTTGAAGGGTTTGGTGACAGGACTTCCACATCCCCCTCAATTGCTGCTCTTTATGATGACCTCAGCCTTTGCTTTTGATGATAGAACTTCCAGTCTCTTTCAGTCAAGTTTACTTTATCCTTTTCAGGAAGTCATACTGCGCATGATCCCTTTCAAGATGATCCCTGTGGGATCTATGTCTGACCTATTGGCAATATGCACAAATTTTTGCTGTGCCAAACTCTGAAAGTTTATCTAGCTTCCTCTTTATCAGCCATTCCAAAGCATCGAACAGACCATCTTGCTTTTAGACTTTTCAGGTGTGAGTCAGAAACCAAATTCTAGGGGATATATGTTGACCTTTCTAAATGGTTCTCCTGGAGCTTCTTCTCTTATCTTGAGGTAAGGAAGAAGTCTCCCCACTCCTTGCATACAACACCAACAATATTAAAGAAATAAACATTCTTGATCATTTCATCCTTTCAGGGCATTTTTAGCCTTTTTAAAAATAGCTTGGAGATTGGTGACAGGCTAATGCTGAAAGAATTAGGTTTTGACCTCATCTTTTACAAATTCTACATAGATGGCTCTACATAGAACAGAAGATGGGGTAATTGTCATTTCTGTTTGTTTTAATCTATTGAGGTCACTGCCCAAACTCTTGAGACTGCATGAAAGCACATTTAACATCCTGCTACATTCGTCAAGCTCCTATTGACACATGTAGATTAAGGCTTAGAGGAGAGAATCCCAGAGTTTTACTATGAGTTTTAGAATACAGAAAGAATTCAATATGTAACCAAAGACTGCTCCCCTCCTCCATGCCTTCCAGCCTAAAAGACTACTGGAAAGACAAAGGGGACAGAGGCTTAGGAAATAAGCAGTTAGACAATGGGAACTGACTTCTCTTCCTCAAGCCCAAAATCTGGAGGGTAGGGGTAACAGGTGGGAAGATGACATTAGAAGAGGTAAAGAGAAAGCCCAAAGTAGAGGGGGCAAAGTGCCAAAGTCCCTGCTTAGCACTCTAGGAGGAGACGTCCACAGGAGGTGGAAACTCAATGTAAAAATAAGCATGGGATACTCAGGTAAAGAGTGGGCCTCAGCCCTCCTGAGAATTCTTTAGTTCCTGTATATTGTGAACCAGTTCTCAAGGTTCCACATACCAAAGGCAATGGAGAGAAGGTGGTCCAATTTAGAACCAAAATACATGGCATAGGGTTCTCATGGCTAGGTGACTTATCACAAAGGATGAAGAAAGGCAATTAAGTCAAAGTCTGGATGGAGGACTTCAATGAGACTCAAGGAGTTTGGGGTAGCAACAAAAGCTAAGGTAGGAAAAGCAATGGAGGACCTCAGACCCTTTAAATAAGGCCTTAAGTTCATCAGTGACTTTATCAGTATAATCCAGCCCAGGTACTGAACTAGTCTTGAAACCTGCAGCACTAATTAGTAAAAACTCAAGAGACAACTTGTGGATCTCAGATACCTTCAAGTCCCAACTTCACTCCTCCCCAACTCCTGGCCTGCCCCTATACCTATAAACCTGTATTTGGTGTGACTGTCCAAACTAAGACCTTTTGAGAGTAAAAAAGAGCTCTACTAAAAATTATGTCAGAACAACAAGCACATTCTTGGACTGTCCCAGGCAAATCTAGAGGTATGACCATCTACCTATATGCCATCCTCAGGAATATGGAATGAAGAGAAAATATGAAAGATTCAGCACTTACCCAGAAGACACTTACCTGGAAGTAACTGGATGGCATTAGTAAGTAAGTTTAACTCATTATTTTCCCACGAAATAGGGAAGAAAGGTGATCAAAGTCCACGAGAAGTTTAGACTAGTTATTTAAAAAATAAATATATATATCTGTATCTTTTTTTTGCAACATTCAAGTTGTAGGTTTTATTTTTTAAAGAAAGAGCAACATTTAAGGGATACAGAAAATCGGATCAGATAAAACAAAATCAAGCATTATAATACATTTGCTCCATTTCAGTACACAGGCAACAGTCACTAAAGTGGGCCTACACAGATCTACAACAATATAAACAAAATTCTCTTTCTCCATTAGGTACTATGTCAAAGTTATATTTAACTTGGTGAATGTGCTGCTTAACTAAAGAGAATGCCAAAGTGTCTAGCAGGTAACAAGTGCTCAAAACTGGTATCATTATTATCCAAACATCATTCCTTCCTTGAGCATATATTGCACTGTGAATTGTGGAAGGGATTTTAAAAAGTGAGTCTATCATCATTTCTCTTTGGTGATCTTAATAATTTATGCTTAAAATTGTCACTGTTGTTCACCAAAGCAGAATAATTCACCCAAGAATTACAGTAATAGATTTTCTTTTCTTCAGAAATGTTCATCATTTAGATACAAGCATAACTATAAGGAGGCTATCAAATTAATACTATTCTTCTCTCACTCAACATAGCTTCCCAAGGGGACAATTATGCTTTCAGTCCAGAACACTTCCCTTGCTTTTCCGGCTGGGATATCCACCTGCCTGTGGATATCTCCACTTGAAAGTGCGGTAGATATTTCAGTGTTTTCCAAACTAAAATCATCTGTCACCCCAAATCACTTCTGCTTTTCAATTTGTGTTCTTTCACCCAGTTTCAAAGCATCTTCACCATTTAAAATTCCCACCAGCAATTTACGGGAGTCCCAACTTCTCCACATCCAAGACAACACTTGCTGTAATTTGTCTTTTTGATTATAGCCATCCCAGTGAATGTGAAGTGGTATTTCAATGAAGTTGATTTGCATTCCCTTAATGGATAATGATATTTAGCATCTTTTCATCTGCTTATTGGCATTTGTATGTCTTCCATGGAGAAAAGTCAGTTCAGATGCTTTGTCTGTTTTTAAATTGGGTTATTTGTCCTTTTATTGTTGAGTTGTAAGAATTCTTTATGTATTCTGGATACAAATCCCTTATCAGGTATATGATTTGCAAATATTTTCTCCCATTCTGTGGACTGTCTTTTCACTTCCTGATGAAGTCTGCTATCTTTGTTTTTAACTTGTAAGGATTTTGTATAAGTTCTTTCAACCTTTGAAGATTTAGGTGTTAAAAAAAATTATTATATCTTATACTCCTATTGAAAATCTTTCAGAAGCTCTCATTACATTCAGGATGAAATAGCAAACCCAGACTTTAAGGCCACTTATAATCCAGAATGTGAGGACCTCACTGACCATCTTTGTCACATACTTTACCCTTCAGTCTACATGCCCTGAACCAAACTTTTCATCTTCCTTCATTAACGTTTCTCCTCAGTCTTCCCTATCTTAATAAATGGCAAATCCTCCTTCCAATTGCTCCAGCCAAATCCATGGAGTTAGCCTTGACTGCTTTCATACTTCACCACTCAGTCCTTCAATGATCCTATTAGTTCTGCTTTTAAAGTACATCCAAATCTGACCTCTCACTCTCTCTCCTCTTGCCACTCCAGTCCATACTCCAGTATCTCTTGCCTAGATTAGGGCAGTATTATCCTAACTGTAATCTCCCTAATTCCTTGCTTCTTCATAGTCTATTCTCAACACAGCAGCTAGAGTGATTCTTTTAAAACACAAATCATATCATATTATCTTTCTAAAACTTTCAAAAGCTTTCCAATTCACTTTTATTTGCCTACAATGCCTTATATGATCTGGCCTCCTGCTGCTTCTCTCACTTTATCGCCTGCCTCTCTTCTCTTCTCTCACTTCACACCAGGAGCTCAGGCCTTCTTCCTCAAGGCATTACTCCAGCTATTCCCTCTACTTGGAATGTTCTTTCCTCCAGTGAGTTACACAGTTGCTCTGTCTCCTTCTTTAGGCCTCTGCTCAAACGCTACCTTTTCAATGGTGATTCTCTGACCACACTACTTAAAAGAGCAAACCCTTATCCCAATACTTCCTAGCTCCCTATCTTGCTTTATTTTTCTCCACAGAGAAAGTATTTACTGTCCACCTCCTCTAACTAGAAAGTAGACTCAATGGAGGCAGAGATTTTGTTTTTAATCATTTTTGTTCACTACAGCAATTAGATAGAAAGAGAGATAGATAGCAAATATATCTCCAGCAACTAGAATAGTTCTGACATAAAGTGAGTCTTCAACAAATACTGAATAAATGAACATCTGAATTTGTGGGCTAACAACCATACCTGCTACATAACTATTGGAACAAAGGGTCTTAAAAACACAACTTTAAAAATGTTAGTTCTTACGTTTTTCTATGGCATTTCTGATAGTCTTCTGAAGAGGTACCTAGGAAAGGAAAAAAAATCTATAGGAAATATAATTCAGGGGAGAGGGATCAAGATGGTAGAGTAGGAGGATGTGCAGCTCGCCTCCCACAGCAAACACATCAAAAATACATCTACATGTGGAACAATTCTCACAGAAAATTAACTGGAAACTGGTAAAACTCCTATATGAGCAAAGCTGTCTTTAGCGGCTCTCCATGTAACCTAGTAGGATGGGGAAAAAAGGCATTAGGTTGGGCTGTGCACCCTAGGAGGGATCCAAAGGGAAGAGAATGTCTGCATGGGCTGATCCTCACCTTGGGGAGCGAGCAGGTCGAGCTACAATCTCAGCATCATAGTCCTGGGGCCCTGTGCAGAGGAGACAAGCCCCTCTGCCTACTGAGAAATCTGCTGAGACAGACAAGGGCTAGAAATGCCTAGACTCTACTCATGAGGAGTATGCATGTGCTGGCTTGCCAGCAATCAGGGCAGAGATAGCCTCACAGCACTTTCCAATCTGAAAAAGCAAGTACCCCAGCCCCACTACACGGATCTACACAGATCTAGGCAAAGACTTGGTCTAGCTACCCAGAGACAGACCAGAACACCTGGGGTATAATCCGGGTGGAACTAAGCTGGCATTGTCACTGCACACATGGGGCAGAGTCAAAGGAGCACACAGTGGCTAAGTGCTGAATCTTGGACAGACAGAACCTGAGAAAGGGCTCAATCTAGCTCCTCAATCTAGCCTCTTTATCTAGAGACAGCCCAGAGAGCCTGGGATATTAACTGGGTGGAGCTGCAGAGGCCACTGTAAAGCTGCGCAGAAGTTCTTCTCCTAGGAGAGTGCCATGACTGCACCCACTCCACACCATAGCTTAGGGCTAGCTCTGGAGCAGATAGGTCCTGGGAGAAGACCGCCTCAGAGGCAACCCAGAACTCAGGAAGCAGTTCAACTTCAATTCCTGTAGTCACAATGCTCTGACTCCCAGCCCCAGCCTACTCCACACCACAGTCTTACACTAGATCTGGGACAAACACAAGAGAAAGGGATGTGACCTTAAGATGCTTCTGAGCTGAACTATGGATGCCTATACAGGTGGCACACAGGTCCTCTGTGACTGCATGAGCCTCACTTGCTTCAGGAATCAATTCCTTTAGGGCAGGGCATGCACTCAAGGGCAACACAGCCTGACTGAACCCTACCCTCAGAACTTTTAAGCCAATACTGGGAAGGAGACCCTGCCTCTGACAGGGTGGTGACAGCCAAGGATCAAAGAAGAAGCCCTGCCTCACATTCTGCATAGGCTCTAGATACTTCAACAACAAACCATACCCCTATCAAGGGGATAATGGCCAGCACAACCTGAGGAAAGAAGTGGCTGGTGTTCCTACCAAAACCAACCTTTACACCAAAAACAATGGACACACATAGTCTACATAGGGATGCTCCCACATAAAAACACCCCTTCAAGAACACAGTAGATAACTGTTCCTCTCAAATTCATAGAGGCAGAGAAAGTTAAGCAAAATGAAAAAGCAGAACTACTCCCAATTAAAAGAACAAACGAAATCACCTGACAGAACAAACAATGAAATAAAGCTAACCAGTCTATGAGACTCTGAGTTCAGAAAAAAAGTTAATAAAAATGTTAACAGAATTAAGGAAGATTATCAATAGAAATGCAGATAACTGTAACAAGGAACTAGAAATTATAAAAGTAAACCAATCAAAAATAGACAATTCAATTGCTGAGATAAAAACCATAGACAGACACAATGGAGAGCAAGCTAAATGACACAGAAGAACAAATAAGTGATCCACAAGATAGAGTAATGGAAATCACCCAATCAGAACAGCAGATAGAAAGACAAATGAAGAAAAATGAAAGCAAAATATGAGTTCTATGGGATAATATAAAATGCACCAACCTATGCATAACTGGGATTCCAGAAGGAGAAGTGGATGGGGAATTTAAAATATATTCAAAGAAATTATTGCTGAGAACTTCCTAAACCTTAAGAAGGAAACAGATATCCAGGTACAGGAAGCACAGAGGGTCCCAAACAAGATGAACCCAAACAAATCCACATGAAAAAATCATAATTAAAATGGCAAAAGTTAAAAATAAAGAGAGGATTCTAAAGGCAGCAAGAGAAAAACAAACAGCCAGTTACAAGGAAACTCTTAAGACTACCAGCTGATTTCTCTGCAGAAACTCTACAAGCCAAAAGGGAGTAGCATGATACATTAAAAGTCCTGAAAGGGGAAAACTTGCCATCTAGGCTTCTCTACCCAGTAAGATTATCATTTAGAACAGAAGGAAATATAAAGAATTTATCAGACAAGCAAAACTAAAAAAATTCAGCAAAACTAAATCATACCTTAAAAGAATTATTAAAGGGTCTTCTCTAAACAGAAAAGAAGCTAAAATCTATGGGAAAAGGAAAACTACAATAAGAAAGGCAAATATTTAAAAGGCCTGAAGATCACTTATATAAGCCAATATGCAGATTTTAAAAATGTAGAAGTGACTATAACTACAATAAACAGTAAAAAGATAAGCATTAAGATGTAAAATAGGACATCAAAATCAGAAAATGTGGAGGAAGGAGCTATAAAAATCTAGATCTTTCAGAGTATGTCTGAGCTTCAATGACTATCAGCTTGAAGCAAGTAGATATAGTTATGGGACAACATACTTCAACTCCATGGTAACCACAAATCAAAAACATACAATAGGTTTATCAAAACCAAAAAGAAAGAAACTCAAGCATACTACAAAAGAAAAGCATCAAACCACGAAAAGGAAAACAAAAAGAAGAAATGAACAAGAACAACAAAAGCAACTGAAAAGCAAAGATTAAAATGAGAATAAGTACCTACCTATCAAAAATTACTTTATATGTCAATAGACTAAATGCTCAGATCAAAATACACAGAGTGGTAGTTTGGATAAAAAACACGAACCTACAATATGCTGCCTACACGAGATTCTCATTTTGGGAAAAACACATACAGACTGAAAGTAAGAGGACAGAAAAAGATATTTCATGCAAATGGAAACAACAAGAAAGCAGGCATAGAAATAACCACTTCAGACAAAACAGACTTTAAAACAAAGGCCATAAAGAAGGGTATTATATAATGATAAAGGGACTCGTACAAGAAGAAGAAATTACACTTGTTAACATACACACCCAGTACAGGAGAACCTAAATATATATATAACAAATACTAACAGCCATAAAGGGAGGAGTGGACAATAATACAATATTAGTAGGAGACTTTAACACCCCATTAATATCAGTGGAAAGACCTAGACAGAAAATCAATAAGGCAACAGAGGTCTTAGATGATACAAGAGGCAAGCTGGACTTAATTGATATCTATGGGACACTATATCCCCCAAAACCAAATATACATTCTTCTCAAGTGTGCATGGAACATTCTCTGGAATAAATCACATACTAGGTCACTTTGTGACTAATTAAATCTGTGCCTCAACAAATTTAAGAGAACAGATATTATTCTAAGCCTCTGTACTTACCACAATAGTATGAAACTAGAAATTAATCACAGAGGAAAATGCGAAAAGAATAAACACATGGAAACTAAGCAATGCTCCTAAAAAACAATGGGTCAACAATGAAATCAAAGAAGAAACCAGAAAATACCTCAAGACAAATGAAAATGAAAACACAGCCATACAAAAATCTATGGGATGCAGCAAAAGCAATTCTAAGAGAGTAGTTCATAGTGATACAAGACTTCCTCAAGAAACAAGAAAAATCTCAAATAAACAACCTAACCTACCACTTTAAAGAACTAGAAAAAGAAGAACAACCAAAACTCATAGTCAGCAGAAGGAAGGAAAGAATAAAGATCAAAGAGGAAATAAATAAGATAAAAGTAAAAACAACAGAAAAGATCAATAAAACTAAGAGCTATTTTTTAAAAAACATAAACAAAATCAACAAGCCTCTAGCCAGGTTCACCAAGAAGAAAAGAGAGAGAACCCAAATAAACAAACACAAGAAATGAAAGAGAAGAAATGACAACTGATATCACAGAAACACAAAGAAAGGATATTATAAACCTTTATAAGCCAACAAATTGGACAATGCAGAAGAAATGAACAAGTTTCTAGAAACATACAGCCTGCTAAAACTGTATCAAGAAGAAACAGATAATTTGAACAGAATGATCACTAGAAATGAAATAGAACCTGTAATTTAAAAAAATCCTTGCAAACAAAATTCCAGAACCAGATAGCTTCACTGGGAATTCTACCAAACACACAAAGAAGAACTTAAACCTAACCTTCTTAAGCTATTCAGAAAAACCAAAGAGGAGGAAACACTCCCAAAGTCATTCTATGAAGCCACCAACACCCTGACAACAAAACCAGAAAAAGATACTACAAAAAAGAAAATTACAGGCCAATATGTTTGATGAATACAGGTGAAAAAATCCTAAACAAAACATTAGCAGACCAAATCCAACAATACAAAAGAAGGATCATACAGCATGATGAAGTTGGATTCATGCTAGTATCCCAAGTATGGTCCAACATTAACAAAA